AACCTCTTGTATGTATACGATTTTCGAATACTTCGTATAATATTCTCTTTGATTTAAAGGACGAATTCACGATGAAAAAGCAACCCATTTCAAATTAACCTAGGGTGAGTGGTACACGAAAGAAGGAAGAACCATGAGAAACGGCCCAGAACCCGAGAAATGGGACCCCTTCCTTGCCCGTTGATTTGAGCATTGATGCGACTCTCATCGCTGTGCCCTCTTCAACACTACGCTCTCTCAGCTATCTAATCACTCGCCACGTATTGAACTACGGCGAGTGATCAGATGATCGGTGGGCGGAGATCGCCGGACCCGCCAGCTTTGAGGCATGATAGGTCGCCGAGGTCAAATTTTTCCATGCGAATTGCGCGTCAGTTCGCACCCTCAGGAGGTCCGTGGGTCCCTCAACTAGGTCAGTTTCCCTTTCTTCGACCTTCATTCTAATCGTGAATTCCTCCTTTAAGTAAAACAGATGACAGTCCACAATTTTGGCGAATTCCTTACAATTAAATAGTCTGGGAGCAGAAGACCTTCCCATCTCACTTCTATTAGTGTTGTTTTCCACCTCATATCATCTGTGGGGCCACCCCGACTGTTGACTGACTTCGTATCAAATAATCAGGTGAGCAACACGTTTGTAGACTGTCGTTTTCGAAAAGATTTTTTGCACCTGTTCACAATATTTGTAATCAGTTTGGCTGCGCACGCAGGCTCGCGTGCATCTGCTGGCACTGCTATAAAACAGGGCCATTTTGCTGGCAAACTCCACCCACCTCAGTGCACGACCCACCCCCGGCAGCATTTGACCTCCCTTTCCTCGCCAACCTCTACCTACTCTTTTCCCAGTCTCTGGGCCCTCTTGGACTTCACTTTAGTGCTTCTTGGGAGACTCCACGCACTTTCGTGCACGCCACACCCACCAGCAACGCTAGAGCTTCACTTCATCTCTAACCTCTATTCACTTTTTCCTGGCTCTTCTGAACAATTGAGCCAATTCCCCTCCCCCTAGTACACCACCTCCGTCGAATGCGTGCCGGTTTCTGGTAAGAGTGGTCAGCACCAAGAACTTCACGTCTTTTTAGTCTTTGTTACTGTAGGAATGATTCCCTTATCGGATGACGTCTGTCTCGTACTTACTGTGATTGCGGACCAAGTCTAGAGATTGGGGCGACTTTTTTGAAAAATTCGAGCCAGAGTAAAAGTAATTGCTATTTTTAGAGTGAAAGAAGCTTAATTTCTTTAACTTTATTGAGGTAGTAATGCAACCAAAGTATGTTAGTGAATCTGACCATACTTTCTTTTCGTGGTGGTAGACATTATCGTGATTATGGTTCTAGTTTTGTTATTAATCCCTCTTTACGAATATTGAGAAGCCTCAATACTCATGTATGTCAATCCGTAGCAAGAAATCAAAATTGAAGAAATTCGTGGATTCTGTGAATTCGAGTGGAAGTACGAGGGAGCGAGTATGGATCGATTAAATGAAAAAAATGCACCTGCATGTGGAACACAAAACACGAATTGAAGAAAATAAATAGGTTTCCCACATTCTGATTTCCTCATCGTGCGATCAGATTTATAAAAGTGCAAACTTATTGTTCGCGCGTACAAGTTGCTTAGTTGTTGTTTCCTACCGAACCTGAAGATCGCATAACTGACTGCGCCACGTCAAGAGACAGCATTCGAGAGCGTCGCTGGTGAGTTCCATCGGGTCGTATTGCATCAAGCAGCTTGTTCTGCTGTACATAGCGTGAGCGTAGTTAATCCTGTTTTCTTAAATTACATATATATCCTGATTTTCTATTGATTCCTCTAAACCATAACTTGTAGCGGAATTTGGCCATGCAACCAATCCATAAAGAGAGTTATTACTTTAGGCGATTCCGAGTCGAATAGGGAAGGTCACGAACGCGAGTACTTTTTGTCTCGATGATCCAGATAATAATGTTATTTAAAAGCAGGGTGGTTCACTAGCAAAAAGCGACTTTTCGGATTCCGCAACAGCAGAGTTCATTTTTCGCTGCGGAAACCCACGTCCTTTGATCAGATCAGCGGACTGAAGTTCCAGCAGCGACAAATCAGTGGAACAGCAAGGTACACAGAGATAATTGTCGCGCTGCGAAACGCGAAAAGTCATTATACGAAGTTATACGACCAAAGGCAGCACTGTCATGCGTACTTTTCTAGAGAGGTGGTTTTCTTCATTTTCTAGAGCCATTTTTGATATAACCTCTTTATAGGTGAAATGCTGCGCGTTTTCACCTACGGACGAATTCCTAGCTACCTGTAGCCGTGACAAAAGTGTATGGTTCTGGCAAAGTTAGTGTTCAATCAGTGATTTTCTGTATAGAAAAAAATAAAAATCGAATAATGTTGTTTTAGTGGATGAGGACGAAGACTTTCAAGTGTCGTCGGTGTTGCAACCTCATACTCAGGATGTAAAGTTCATCACCTGGCATCCATCAGAAGAGGTATCCAGGCTGAGCTTTTTCCCTTTCTTGCATCGTCTTCAAAGCAGTATTTCACTTGTGCTGAAGACATTTCCGGTTCGATATCGTGCCTTACCCAAAGTGGAAACTACCTAAACCTTATTTGTTTCCATGATAAGCAGTCGATTTATTGGCTACTTTGAATGGTCAGCATAGGTGTCACACATGCAGCCGAATGCGAAGGGTTAGAGCACACCTTCGCGAAATGACCAGCTTGCTTGCTTATGGCATGGTTTAGTCAACCATTGCGCGGTTACAACACATAGCAATTATTAAAACGGCACACGTTGCTCAGTTGTACGATGTGGGTATAGGCTAGTCGCTACGCAAACGCGCGCCCAGGATTCAACAATTACGTCCTTATCCTTTCGGCTAGATGATACTGTGCTGCTGGACAAAATTCTGGGAGAAGATGTGGCATACTGTTGCTATACTCGCTCAGGTGTGATTCACCGCGGATAAGTATAGGAAAAGGGTCCATCATTTCAGTTTTGTGGTTTCTTTTAATACAATTTATTTGATTATTCCTTTCTGCAAAGGATTAATTGCCCTGCAAATGCCCTCAGCCAAATTTGCTGGACTTTTAAAGATCTTTTTTTATTAAGCTACCATGTAATTTTTTGATATATGCTCCTTTAGTTGTTGGTCTCCTGTAGTTACGACTACTCGATAGTGTTTTACAAGTTCGACGGAGAGGACTGGATAACTCAACAGAAAATTCCTGAGGTAAGCCACTTTCCAGCATTAGTATTTCAGACATGGCGCGCACCAGCAGATGACCGATTTATGGTCTTCCAGACAGTGGTGATACATGATGCATAAACTATATAAATTACCACTGAAGGATTGTGTAAAAAATTTCTCTATTATCATTGAAATGTTGTTATTTGAAGGCCCACAAAGGGACGGTGTGGTGCGCTGCGTTTGACTCCGAAGGGCATCGTTTGGTAACAGTTGGAGAAGATCACATTGTACAGGTTCGTCTGCTACTATTTATCCAATGAGTGTCTATATTTATCTTAGTTATTAGTGAGTGCCTAGATGTCAATGGTCGGCTGCATCTACGCCTATGTAAGTGTCGTATTATTAGTGGCCGACGCAATTCTTCGCACACAATCCGCAGTGAGCGACATAAATGCAATCTTTGCAAGTTTCTTAGTGGAGGATACACGATTACCTCTATATTCAGTTTCTTGGCATGCAGTGACTGGTCTTATCGCTACCGGTGGAGGCGATGGAATGATCCGGTGAGTAATTTTTTTACGTTCTGAAACATGACTTGATCTATTCGACTTGTTACATGTTCATGATGAGTTAATTAGTTGAGAAAAAAGCGGCTAATAGCCGTTTCTATGGCCTATATTCTTGAGCACTTTCCTCATAACAATGTGCACGAACCTCGCACATCAAAAACTTGTAGCAAATGGCATGGACCACTTCTGGCTTCTCAATCATTCTCGCTTATCCGAACAATTCCTCGTGAGTGTGCCAGCCATTACTTTTGCGATCGGTATCGCCATTCGAATATTGAACGGGTGGGGTTTCTTCGTGACATTTCTTCTCAGGGGCGTGGTTATCCAGACCACCCCCCCCCCCCACCCCCCCCCCTGGACAGAAAGGGCTTTTTTTACGTTTCGCATCGTTATGGAAACCTTACCATTAGGTCCACCGCTGTTCATAAGTGGACCCGAGGTTACCGCAGCGAATCATCAGTGGACCCGGTATACTCTGCGTGCCGAACAATGGTTGTGCGCTTGTCTTGTCGCTATTCTGTTGCTAGTGAACCACACCTTTCCTTTCACTGCAGACCAGAGACGGGCAATCACGATCAGAGGGGAGTTTGGCTTCTAGTGGCAGGTGGCGGGATGCGAAATATTACCCATGGCGCTACAAAGAAGCTAACGAAATCAGTCTAAGAAGTTGCGAAAATGGATCCCTTTTTATACCGCGGACTCCAATAATGGCCATGCCTAGCAACCAACTTAGAGTCAGTTTTGCACGATGCAAGCGATAAGTCGATCATCATACATTCAACTTATTCATAACAAAGAGATTGCATGATTCGCGCTTGGGTTGATAACGCATCAATGCGTAAGAGTTGGTGTGATGCGCGCGTAATGGCAAGTACCTTTTCCCAAAAGGGTCAGTAATAGTGATGCTGCCAATAGCGCAATTAAGGCCGGAGCACAGGCGGCAGAGCCGGGACTCAGAATAGTATTTGCAGCTCCAGGGCGCTGAACTAGCGCACCGTAGCTACGAAAAGGCCACATATCGCTTCCATCTGCTCCGGGCTACTGCTTTCTTTGATCGATACGCTTCCATGCGTGCACACTCACTTTATCGTAATCCTTGTAGGCGCTGGCACATGCGAGTGCGCGACGATAGTAGGTAGTGGCTCCCACGATCTTACGCCCCTGAAGCGGCCGGCTCTGGCCGCGGGAACGCCCGCCAACATGAGAGCTCTGCGAATTTTTTGCGTCCGCCGCGCCAAATATTAAAATCCGTCGCCATTACAGTTTGAACAAATTCTGACGTGCAACTGTTAGGGCATCGACACTTATTCTTCGCGATGCGAACTAGCAAGCGAAGTGATTAGCACACTTCACCACGCCCTCAGACTTTGAACTTTTATAATGATTCAAATATCTGTAATGCCGACGAATCCTCTCAAAAACTTTATCTTTTGAGGATATTCCGAGTCGATGGCAAGGAAAATGAAGAACGTTTGGAACAGATCAGTGCTTATGACACTGACGCAAACGAGGTTGGTGTTTCTTTTTGAGTAATATGAAATGAATAACCTGTGATGAGCTTTTCCAAAGAAGGCCACCAAAGTCACGATTTCCTCTCAATTGTGCAGATTTGGATCATTACTGAATCTCATATAGCAACACCTACAGTTCCTTAGTGAAGCGGGCTTAGGTTATTCTCATATTTTGTTTTGCGATCGCATATTTGAAAAATATTCTTGATCTTATGAACAATAAGCTCAATTGATGGGGTGCTTTGTATTGATAGCACCATAACTGCCTTATTTGTACTTCTACGGTGGCGTAAGAATAATCTCATTTTACCTTTTCTCTTCTGGTCTATAGAGTCTTGAACTTTCACAAAATACCCATCGTCCGTCAAGTTGCTGTACCTTCTTGGTGCCTACTGCAGCGTGCGGCTTCTAATTACCATGGCTTCAGGAAACCCTCAAGTTTGTGATATAGATGAGATTTTTCTTCACATTTTCCCTTGTACCAGCTTCAGGAACCCCTCAAGTTTGTGATATAGATGAGATTTTTCTTCTCATTTTCCCTTGTACCTCAAAGTGCAACGATTCCTAAGTCTGTGCGAAAACTAATGATACCGGTGAAGCACTAATGACATTTGAATTAGAAATTGAACAGCGTTTCTTTATAAGTTTTTGCTATGACTAGTCCCTGAAAGCCATCACCCACACTGGCAAGTCGTCATCGATCTCAGCACTTCGACCATTTTGACCTCTGTTAAGACGAACACGTCGTTCACCATCATTGATTGTCTTTCTCTCTGGTGCATTTGTTTCCTAGAAAGTCCTTACAGTACTCGCCATCTAAAAATCGAAGTTTTGTAAATCTTGTGTTGGTCTCTGAGATTGAGCGGGTCCTGCTCTTTGGTTTGTGTACTCTCTGAGAAGTATTTGGCTTTCCATGAGTAGGATGCAGCTCTAGGATGTTACAAGGCCTCAGTCCTATACTCATTCCTTTCTTAGTCTTATTTTAGTTCAGCCTACCACTGTCATTTTTTAGTGAGCTTTACTCGAGTGCTTTTGGAGCATTCCTTTGAATTGTTGTATACTTTATTTTCGGAAATTTCATTTTTATTTCAATCCCTGATGTGCGCTATTTCAGGTGAATTGCGTTGCATGGAATCCAGCAACGTCCACAGAAGATAATTCCGATAGGTGGCTCCTAGCTACGTGTTCAGATGATGCTACGATTAGGTTGTTTGGTGTCCATGTCTGAAAAGTTACATTCTATCTGTCATCATTATTGGAGGTATCTCTCATCATACTTCAATCCTGTTAGCTTCTTGTTTTTTGTTTGCACCCTGTTGCTAAAAAAGAGTGCAACAGCACGTGCACGTGTACGTTTTCCGCTTCCGGACATGCACACTGCTGCAGCTCTTTCTTAGTAACGGTGAGTAGATCGTTTTCGCTCAGCAGCTGCGATCCTTTCCAGCAGAGTGGGCGCTTTTCGTTCCCACCGATAGGTCTCGGTCTGTCGTAATTACGGCTCTTATACAATTCTTGCGCAACGGTTGCTCATGATAGAAGGCAGTTGTTGCGATTTTCCCACGCAGTTGTGCAAAACCGGTAGATTGCAGTTTTTTATCTGTTCTGTTTCGATAGGCTTATTTTTCATTATTTGAATGGATTCTGAAAGACCAGTCGGCAATGAGGTAGATCAGCGTGGGGAATAGAAGTAGAGGTATGGTAATGTGGGTATGCTTTCGTTATCTACGTAACAATTTCCTAACAAAGCAATTAACGAGCAAGCAGTAAGAAGCATTTTTGCTGTCTCCAGAAATATGCTAACTTTTTTGCATATAAAAGCAGTAAATTACGCATTCGCATTGAAGTCGATCCCACATATCGTGCCTGCAAGTCAGGGCCTTTACCGCAGCGGTCTTCTGCTTCATAGTTTATCAGGAAACACAGACAACGAAAGCAAACTTGAACTCAGCGTTTCGAGGCACGGTATAGGCCTTCTTCTCATTTTGAATGGACGGATTGAATTATTTATTTTCTCTATAATTTTCAGCTTCTCTTTTCCTGTATTAATGTCGCTTGCGCCTTTTTGTTAGCCAGTATATTTGCAATCATTTGTGTTTGTTTCTGGCTGCTATTATCACACCGAAGGTAGGCATGTGCTCTTTAATTCTCTTAACTGGGGTGTTTGGTATCCCTGAGTTTACTATAGAAGTGTAATCTTACTGTCTGCCACTGCGGCCGCGTCGGTTTTTTTGTTTTTCTCTCCACTCTAGCGCTTAGACAATTTTCTTGTTTTGCATTTGTGACAACCTAGCCAGTGTTTCCGTATTTCCTGTATTATGCGTAATTTTGGGACTCTTCGGTTTCGGTTTACGGTGATCTACTGTTGATTTGTTTCCTTTTAGTACAGTAGTCCTGCCACCCGCGAGTTGCAAGAAAGCTACAGCTATCGATCAGACGAACCCTAGCACTCTAAACCAGGAAGGTCTTCAGGCGTGACAACTTTGAGAACAAGTCGGTCTTCCTGCAGATTAGGGGCAGATGCGGGAACCACAGAACCATGTTCAATTTTTCCTGAACGGCCCTCTGAATACCAGAAAAGGAGGTCCCTAGTTCGATTCCTCGTGGTAACAAATTTTTGCATTTCGAGTTGACGTGCCAAAATTCGCGCAAAATGGAGTTAGAACCAACCAGAACAATCAGAACTCCATTTTGCGCGAATTTTGGAACGTCAACTCGAAATGCAAAAATTTGTCACCAAGAGTAATCGAACTAGGGACCCCCTTCGGACCCCCCCCTATTTCTAGTATCCCCAGCGACAAGGGCCGTCCACGCGACCACATCGAACATGGTTCTGTGTTCCCGCACATCTGCCCCTATAATCAATAGACCGTTCACAACAGCTCGTACAGGACCCTGAACAGACCCTTTCCTGGAATCCCCCCATGGAGAGCAGGAGTTGCTAGAGAGCGGCGCAGATGGTCTGGGAAGCGGCTTGGAGTCAAGTATCCGTCGACCAATCTGAAAACGTAGGATCCGCAGCCATAAACCTGTTCGCGTGCAAAGCCGAATAAAGCGTCTTTTTCTAATCATGCCCCCACTTCACTGCCCTCCATCTCTCTTGCTGCAAGCTTAACATCCTCGAGACTGATTATATGTTTCACATTCAGCCTGTCCATGTGAGCCTTGAACTTGAATCAACAACGTGACCATCTGCCTGGCTGGGTATTGTACGGAATTTGAACTCATTTTTGTGACTGTCTAGACAGATCTTACGAGCTCATATTTGAGTGGAAGTTTAGAAGCTCGATACACTGCTGTGATTTTTTGTTCTACTACTTTTTGAATTCCGTTTTTCGTTTCGCATTGCTTTGTTGTGTTAGTTGTTGTTGTTGTTCTCGAGCTGTTATATTTCGCTAGAATATATTCATATTAAGACTTTATTTGTTTCTTTGCGCATTAGAATAACACTTAGAGCTCGTTTATATCACGAAAATGAAATATGTGATAGCTAGAAATTTATGCTTAAAATAAGCACGACTAATATAATTAAGGCACTTATATGGAGCAAATACCTCATATTATTACATATATATTAAATATATACGAATAAAGCAGAATGGACATGGAAATAACAGTATATACCGGCGATTTTGTATGAGCGATGATGATGATGATGATGAGTGCATGAAAAGTGATGTGCTGGTTGTGGCTGTGTGCTTAACGATGAATCGTTATTGCTGACGAAAAAGGACCTACAGTGGTGATAACGGGTGATAAAAGGATGCTGTGGTGCTGAAAAAGTGGAATCCGTAGGTACGCCCATGTCCCTCAACGTAGAATCTCCGGTGCGACAGCGGCAACTCGCGAACGCACCTCGTCGACGTCCGCAGCAGTGGTGGTGCTCATCGCAAGCAGTGTCGCACGATCGTATCCAATTGACTGGAATTCACAGATATCGATTATTTATTTATTCATTAGATTTATGCCCCGAAAAGGTGGGCGCAAAATGGAGGACAGACTTCGTAAAACTAACCAGTCCATGACAAAAGAAAAGAAAAAGAGAGAGAAAAGGGGTAAAATGAACACGGAAACAGTAGTGAGATAGTCTTTAGGTAAAACAAAAGGACTGAGATGGCAGTCTTGAGGTCCTACTTTGTAGCCGGCAACCCAAGGCCGCACCCACCATCCGGAAGACCGAGAACCCGACAAGATCGTTGTCCCTCGGACGCGTTCGAGTCGAGCAACGCACCGGGCTTGCAACCAACTTAGGAATGAGGGGCTTTCGTTGTTTGGACGGTACCTCTGTATTTGTATGTGAATT